CTCCTCCCCCCCCCCTCCTCCCTTCCCCACCCCATTTATCTGCTGGCTAGATTCTGCTATTGGCTATTTCAAATTGCCATAGACAAAAGCAAGCTGGCTAATGCATATGCCCACTGCCTGTTTACATTCACCTGCCAGCTGAGAAATCTAGCCGTGGGCCTCAGCAAGATTTAAACAGAATAAATGTAGTTTGTAGTTGCTAACACATTTTTTTAGTGTGCACATGTCCATCAAGCAACCGTCAAAAAAAATTGACATTTTTTCTGGAGTTCTGGTTGCTTGAATGCCGGATAATAGGAGTTTACTGTACATGGAATCATTGCATGATCAATGGTGACATCTAGTGGTCACAGAACCTCATTACAGCTCATCCAGATCTATGAGACGTGAGTGTGCACAATACATGGAATCATTGCATGGCCAGTGGTGACATCTAGTGGTCACAGAACCTCATTACAGCTCATCCAGATCTATGAGACGTGAGTGTGTTCAATACATGGAATCATTGCATGGTCAGTGGTGACATCTGGTGGTCACAGAACCCCATTACAGCTCATCCAGATCTATGAGACGTGAGTGTGTTCAATACATGGAATCATTGCATGGTCAGTGGTGACACCTAGTGGTCACAGAACCTCATTACAGCTCATCCAGATCTATGAGACGTGAGTGTGCACAATACATGGAATCATTGCATGGTCAGTGGTGACACCTAGTGGTCACAGAACCTCATTACAGCTCATCCAGATCTATGAGACGTGAGTGTGTACAATACATGGAATCATTGCATGGCCAGTGGTGACATCTAGTGGTCACAGAACCCCATTACAGCTCACCCAGATCTATGAGACGTGGGTGTGCACAATACATGGAATCATTGCATGGCCAGTGGTGACATCTAGTGGTCATAGAACCTCATTACAGCTCACCCAGATCTATGAGACGTGAGTGTGCACAATACATGGAATCATTGCATGGCCAGTGGTGACATCTGGTGGTCACAGAACCCCATTACAGCTCATCCAGATCTATGAGACGTGAGTGTGCACAATACATGGAATCATTGCATGGCCAGTGGTGACATCTAGTGGTCATAGAACCTCATTACAGCTCCAGTGTTCTGTGCAGTGCTGTCTTAGTATATACTGACTCTCATAGGACAGGCGGGTCTCTGGGCCTTTTGGTTTTTTTTTTGTGCTCCGTCATCTGTCTCTCAGAGATTTAACAGTTTTTAAACATTTCCAGATACGGTTATCACATCTCAAAAACCTCCTATTTCCTGTGCTACGACCCCGCCACTAATAAGAGGATATTTGACCGCCTGAGAAATTACAGCGGACCCAAAAGGTATCCTCAGAGTTGTGGGGCGTACGGCATCCTCCACGTCCGGGATGTGACCACCGGCTACGACAGCAGTCAGCAGAGCAAGAAAAGTGTAAGACGTTGTCACCTTGTTCACGATACGATGGCGTGTTATGAGTCCTGATATGTTCACAGATCGACATCCTGTCTCTGGCATCCATCTTGTTCTTATGTTCTTATCTGTCATCTGCCTTCTCTTATCTGTAGAGTTAAAATTACAACTCCAAAACAAAAAAAGAGACG